AGCAGGTAACTCAGAGGGGAGGAGTCACGTAACCTGGGAGGTTAAACTTCAGCAGCATAATTTTGTTTTAATAGTATCTTATTTTCAGCTTTAAAACTCAGTTTTACAGATTTTCAGCAGAAATTTTCATCTTTCTTTAAAACTTTTTAAGGCGGTGAAACTTTTTAATTTAACCCTTTCTTACCTGAAGTCCTTTGGTGAAAATATCCTCAGTCAGGAAGTCAGACAACATCCTGAGGACAGACGCGCCCTGAGGACGAGAGTAGAATATTTATCTAAAACTCTATGAAAATCAGTGGACTCGTGTGTCTCTGATGGACTGAGACCAGTCTAGGTGTCTCTGTGATGGACCAGTCCAGGTGTCTCTGTGATGGACTGAGACCAGTCCAGGTGTCTCTGTGATGGACCTGTCCAGGTGTGTCTTAGCTCACCTTGCTGTAGGAGATGGCGTCAAACACCTCGCTGATCTGAGCCGGTCTCTGGATCTCGTCTTCTTTGGAGGTCAGCGGGTGAGAGGACGTCAGAGCGTCAACAGCGAACACTCTGTGGACATCGTTGAGGACAATCAGGTCTTTCTGTCAGGGAGCAGGAAACAGAGCATCAGCTTCCTGTGAAGACGGAGGTCAAAGGTCAAATGTCAAATCAAAAGTCAGAGGAGGTCAGATCCTCACCATGTTCCAGCTGGGCTCGGCTTTGTCTGCTCCCAGGTACTCCACGTATGATGCAAAGCCCTCATTCAGCCACAGGTCATTCCACCACTGCAGAGTTACCAAGTTCCCGAACCACTGAGGGACAGAGGACAGGGTTCAAACAGAGGACAGGCTCTAACCCGGTCTACAGAGACCAGGACTCACCATGTGGGCGAGCTCGTGGGCGATGATGGTGGCGATCCTCTCCTTGTTGGAGTTGGAGGAGAAGGTGGGGTGGTAGAGCAGAGCGGTCTCTCTGTAGGTGATCAGACCCCAGTTTTCCATGGCTCCAGCATTAAAATCAGGCAGAGCGATCTGATCTGAGGAAAGATTCACATCATCAGAGACCAGAGACACCAGTGAGTCGTAACAAAAAACTAACGGGACTAAAACTGTAGACATGTGGTTAAAGGTAAAAGTCCATCCATCCATCCACTCAGATTGAATGTCTCTGCCTTCACTGGGATGTGTTTGAAGGTCTGTTGGAGGCAGGACCAGTTCTTCTGCCAGGTGTTCCCATGAAACCTTACATACACTCACCGGCCACTTTATTAGGTACACCTGTCCAACTGCTCGTTAACACTTAATTTCTAATCAGCCAATCACATGGCGGCAACTCAGTGCATTTAGGCATGTAGACATGGTCAAGACAATCTCCTGCAGTTCAAACCGAGCATCAGTATGGGGAAGAAAGGTGATTTGAGTGCCTTTGAACGTGGCATGGTTGTTGGTGCCAGAAGGGCTGGTCTGAGTATTTCAGAAACTGCTGATCTACTGGGATTTTCACGCACAACCATCTCTAGGGTTTACAGAGAATGGTCCGAAAAAGAAAAAACATCCAGTGAGCGGCAGTCCTGTGGGCGGAAATGCCTTGTTGATGCCAGAGGTCAGAGGAGAATGGGCAGACTGGTTCGAGCTGATAGAAAGGCAACAGTGACTCAAATAACCACCCGTTACAACCGAGGTAGGCAGAAGAGCATCTCTGAACGCACAGTACGTCGAACTTTGAGGCAGATGGGCTTCAGCAGCAGAAGACCACACCGGGTGCCACTCCTTTCAGCTAAGAACAGGAAACTGAGGCTACAATTTGCACAAGCTCATCGAAATTGGACAAGAGAAGATTGGAAAAACGTTGCCTGGTCTGATGAGTCTCGATTTCTGCTGCGACATTCGGATGGTAGGGTCAGAATTTGGCGTCAACAACATGAAAGCATGGATCCATCCTGCCTTGTATCAACGGTTCAGGCTGGTGGTGGTGGTGTCATGGTGTGGGGAATCTTTTCTTGGCACTCTTTGGGCCCCTTGGTACCAATTGAGCATCGTTGCAACGCCACAGCCTACCTGAGTATTGTTGCTGACCATGTCCATCCCTTTATGACCACAAAACCGTTACTAGCGTGGTGTGCCTAATAAAGTGGCCGGTGAGTGTATTTGGGCCTACCAGGTCTGTCCTATCACCTGATCCACCTGACCAGATCCTGATCAGTTGGGAGGTGAAGAATTACAGATGATGAGATAATTTACTGACAGGTGGTTGTATAACACGTGGAAGGATCAGAGTTTATCTTGTCATCACATCTCTTTGGGACATGAAGAGATAAAAACCTGACTTGGATTCTGGGATGAGCCTAAACAATAACGACAATAAGAGATGGGCAATAATGTTTTATGATGTTAAAACCTGCTGACACTGTTGGTATAATAGCTATAAAAGCTAAAAATTAAACCTTTTTATAGTAAAAGCTTTCATGGTGAAGATAAAACCAAATTGTCTGTTTCTAACTCTCCCCTGAGTTGAAAAACTGTGAGATAGTGATGTTTAATGTTTGTTACATAAAGAAATAAAAAATATCATGTCTGAATCTTTGAGCTAAAGACGGACAAGATGTTTCAGTTCCTTAAAATGGATTTGACTGAAATAACAAAACTCACAAAGGTAATAATAGTAAAAATAGCTAAAAAAAATAACCAATCAAAGCAAGTTAAAATTTGAATTTGAATTTAAAAGAAAAGTTAAAAAAAACTAAGTAATAAGACTAGCTTTGAAAAAAACAATATCTGTCAGGACTTGTGTTTTGTGTTTATTCATATAGTTTTTTCTCTTGATGTGTCCAGTGTCTCAGGTGTCTTCAGCCTATAACCAGTTTAGGTAGTGACAGCTTGAAGGGTCAGCCGTCCTGAGTCTGTGTGAGGAACTCACCAGACTTGGGCAGTGGGTATGGGCATTTGTAGTATTCCTCAAAGAACTTCAGGATGGTTCCGGTGATGCTGAGGGTGTAGTTTCCTTGTCCGGCTTCGATAGCCGACCTGCGTGCAAAAATACGGATCTGAAACAAAAACAAAAACAAAATAATTTAATTAAATTTTTAAAAACTGTTAGGTCCCTGTAGGACCACTGCCAGAGCTTGGTCTACTTTACTGGTAGTAAGTCAGGCTCGTTTCCAGTGAGAGTTGGACTCTACCAAGGCTGCCCTTTGTCACCGATTCTGTTCATAACTTTTATGGACAGAATTTCTGGGAACAGCCAAGGTGTTGAGGGGATCCTTTTTGGTGACCTTAGGATCACAGCTCTGCTTTTTGTGGATGATGTGGTCCTATTGGCTTCATCAGATCCTGATCTCCAGCTCTCACTGGAGTGGTTCACAGCTGAGTGTGAAGCGGCCGGGATGAGGATCAGTGCCTCCAAATCTGAGACCATGGTCTTGAGCCAGAAAATGGTAGGGTGCCCTTTCTGGGTCCGGGAGGAAGTCCTGCCCCAAAAGTATCTCGGGGTCTTGTTCACAAATGAGGGAAGAATGGAGCAGGAGATCAACAGGTGGATTGGTGCTGCGTCTGCAGTGATGCGGGCGTTGTACCGGTCTGTCGTGGTGAAGAGAGCTGAGCCAGAAGGTCGGTCTACGTTCCTACCCTCATCTATGGTCAGGAGCTTTGGGTAGTGACTGAAAGAAGGAGATCACAGATTCAAGCAGCTGAAATGAGTTTCCTCTGCAGGGTGTCTGGATTCTCCCTTAGAGATAGGCTGAGAAGCTCAGTCATCCAGGAGGGACTCAGAGTAGAGCCGCTACTCCTCCACGTCCAGAGGAGCCAGTTGAGGTGGTTCATCTGGTTAGGATGCCTCCTGAACTCCTCCCTGGTGRGGTGTTCTGGACACGTCCCACTGGGAGGAGACCCAGAGGAAGACCCAGGACACGCTGGAGGGACTATGTTTCTCAGCTGGCCTGGGAACACCTTGGGATTCCCCCCCAGAGGAGCTGGTCCAAGTGTCTGGAGAGAGGGAGGTCTGGGTCTCTCTCAATCTGAGAAAGGTCATAGGTCACGGCCTGTTCTCTCTAAACAACATGACAGCACCATTCAGGTTTGTTTCATCTAAGGGAACAAAAAGTCGGAGGTGGGGGGATGATGGTTTGGGCCTGTTTGAAGTTAAAAACGTCACTTTTTTTAAACATCTTTGAACAAATGTGAAGTTGATGTGATGCAAATGGTACCGAGAGTTAAAAACAGGTCAGGTGGAACCAAGAGTTAAGACAGCTGGAGATGGTACCGAGAGTTAAAAACAGGTCAGGTGGAACCAAGAGTTAAGAACAAGTAGATATGGTACCTAGAGTTAAAACAGCTGGAGATTGTACCAAGAGTTAAAACAGGTCAAATTAATATCAAGAGTTAAAAACAGGTCCATATGGCAACAAGAGTTAAAACACGAGTCTAGATTTTGATTTTAATAAAAGTTACCTCAACTTGGTCAGTGGAGTTGTTGCTGATGAAGATGAAGTCACTGACGATGAAGGCCAGCAAGTAGGTGGACATCTTTGGGGTTTGTTCAAAAGTTGTCTGCTGAAGGCTTTCTCCATCAGTGGTGATATTTGTGGTTTCTACAGAGGAACAAGAAGTCTTTTTAGTGTTTAAAGTTAAAACCCTACTTTAAACAGAAGTTCTGACCAGCTGGTGCCTGTATCCTTCCAGTTTCAAACTGACCTATGGCCTTGCCGTTGGACAGTGCAGTGGTTCCGTGGTCGTGGATCAGAGTGATGTTAAAGTGAGCTTTCATCGCCGGCTCATCGAAGCAGGGGAACGCCTTCCGAGCGTCTGTCGGCTGCATCTGGGTGGTAGCCACGATCCTGAACGAACCAAACAGACAGACTCACAGTTTAACGTTTGGTTTCATTTACGTTAATCTTTGTAAAGAATCCACTTTCTATAAGACCACAAATCAGTAGATAAAATACAGCTTTTAAAATCTGAAGTATTTCAAACATGAACCTACTTTGTGACTCCATCATCATCCTTGTATTCGCTCCTGTAGAACCCTCCCAGGTCATCAGCCAGCTCTCCAGTGAAGTTGGTGTAGAGGCGGTACCGACGGCCCTTCACCAGCTTCTCGTTCAGCTCCAGGACCATGTACTGAGTGACGGTCTGAAACCAGGGGGACTTGAAGGGAATCTCTGCCCAGCTGTCGACAGCTACGAGGCTCACCTGATTCCTGTTCCCCGGAGACGAGTAGTTCAGCTTGTTGGAGTGGATCAGAATCAGGTCTGTGTCCTCCACACACTCAAACTCCACATCTGACTGACCTGAAACACAACAAACCAGGATTATATCACCTAAAGCACCAAAGACTGTGATTATATAACCTGAAACTGTGATTATATCGCCTAAAGCACCACAGACTGGGATTATATCACCAGAAACTGGGATTATATCACCTGAAGCACCACAGACTGGGATTATATTATCTGAAACTGGTATTAAATAACCTTAAACTGGGATTTTATCACCTGAAAGTGGGATTATATTACTTGAAGCACCACAGACTGGGATTATATCACCAGAAACTGGGATTATATCACCTAAAGCACCACAAACTGGGATTATATCACCTGAAACTGGGGTTATATCGCCTAAAGCACCAGACTGGGATTATATTATCTGAAACTGTGATTATTTAACCTGAAACTGGAATTATATAACCTGAAACTGGGATTATATCGCCAAAAGCAACACAGACTGGGATTATATTACCTGAAACTGGGATTATATAAACTGAAACTGGGATTATATAACCTGAAACTGGGATTATACCATCTGACACTGGAATTATATTACCTGAAACTGAGATTAGACACAGACACGGCTTATATTTGTGACAACATGAAGCTCAGCTCCAGCAAAGCAGTTAATGTAAAATCTGTAAATTATTTGTCAGGACAGCAGCATTAGATGCTTGGTTATTAATCTTTAACAGAAAGATAAAAGAACCATTCAGCCGGACTGATCCGACCTTCAGAGCTTCAGGAAGAGAAGAGAAACAAACAAACTGACATTTAATCTGGTTTCAATCAGGAATCCTCTGAACCTCACCCTAATCCTAAAGCCTGAATGAATCCTGGTGACTCACACAATCAGCTTCAGGTTTAATCTTCAGCTGTTCTTCAAGGTAAACTACATTTTTATCAACAGAATTTATTTAAAACGTGTGAAGAATCAAAATGAGAACTTCAGGTCCATCATCAGAAAGGAAACTCCTGGTTTTAGTTCTTGTTCTGGTTTTAGTTCCTGCGGGACAAGACCAGACCTGCAGGACTGAGCCCGGTCTTGTTTCAGAGAGTCCTACCTGTAAAGATGTAGAGCTTAGATACTGGGTCTGGTTTCAGTCGTGGCCACAGCTTCACCCGGTAGCTTATTGGTACCAGGCTCTTGGGCAGCCGGTACTGGTCCCATGGTTTGTTGGAGGGGGTGGGAGTGGGTTTGATGGTGGGCCCTTCAGTTGTGGGGACCTGGAGGTTCTTGGACCGTTCCTGGGAGTAAACAACAGCCAGAGCGATGATGGTGGACAGAGCAGCCACAGCTACAATAATCCCTCCAATCGCAAAAGCTTTACCGACGTAGAACCCTTTCCCCATCCTGGTCCTGGACTGAACCCTGAATAAACCTGGTTCTGAAGGGTCTGTCCTCCCAGCAGGGCTGCAGGTGACACATTAACTGGGAGGCTGGGACCGCCCACCTGAGCTGGAGTAAAGCAGACGTCAGAATAATTACAGGAATATTTTCTGGACTTTGATTTATTTTAAAACTTTGTTTCTTAAATGTCAGCATGAAGGAAAAGATGAGACAACAGACTCCTCCTCTCTCCAGGACTCTACCCTCTGATCCTGGCCATAAAGACCACAAACTGGATCAGAGACCAGGACGGCACCAGGAACCATGAGTATGATGTGGAAACAGGTCTTGATCTGGATCAGCACCGTGAACGTTCTGTTCTAGACATGACGCCATAAAAATATGAAGAATTTTTCCAAACTAAACAACCAGAAGTTTCCTGATAAAAAAACATCAGAATATTAAACTCTGGATGTTCTGGATCAGAACCAGTTGTGGACAAATTATCTGTAAAACAAAAACTAAAATGTTAGCATTCCTTGTTTGGTGCCAATAAAATGCTCAGAATTTTTTCCCATTAATCTTTATTGTTCTTTAGCTGACCGTTCCTACATTTCATTTATTGTTTATTTGAATAGGTACAAGTGTCAAGTGTTAACAATACTATACATACATTACAGCATTTATAGCCAGAGCTAATTTGCAATGCCCGTCCCTAGATGGGCTTTTAACAACATGAAATAAAAGTGTAAAATACAGTTAACAAATAAAAACATCACAATATTAAAACTCACTAATAAACTCATAAAACCAACTAAAAAACAAATCATTAAAAAGTAAAAGTTCAGTTATTCATCACCAAAAAGCTGGTTTTCCTTCAAGAAATGCTTCAGTTTCAATCTAAAATCGTTCCAGTCAGACATCAGTTTTAAATCAGTAGGTAGGGAATTCCACATGTAAATCCCTTGAGCAGAAAAATAGCTTGCTAATAATTAACAAACGTTAAGTCTAAATGTTAAATCTAAATGTTAAATCTAAACATTAAATCTAAATGTTAAATCTAAACGTTAAATCCTAAATGTTGCATCTAAACGTTAAATCCTAAATGTTAAATCCTAAATGCTAAATCTAAATGTTAAATATAAATGTTAAATCTAAATGTTACATTTAAATGCTAAATCCAAATGTTAAATCCTAAATGTAAATGTTAAATCTTAAATGTGGCCAATTCATAAATCGTAAATAAAAAAGTTTCAGTTGTTGTTGCTGTTTTTTTTTTGTTGTGATGTCATCATCCTGGGACTAAAGCAAACACTAATGCTGCCAACACTGCTAATTTTGCTACTGCTGCTAACGCCTCCCTATAAGACATCAGACTCAGTTACAGCCATCATGTTTTCAGTGAACACTGAAGTTAAATTTTAAATGCCATATTTAGCAGTGTTAGCATTGTTAGCATCATTGGTGTTTGCTTCAGTCACAGGATGATGACATCACAACAAAAGCTGCACACCAATGGCAAAGGCTGCGATCCATTCTGAAATTCTTAAATGTAAACTTTAACATTTAGCAGCAACATTTAAGATTTAATTTTTACATGTACACATTTAATATTTAAATTTAACATTTAGTTTAAAACCTGTAAGGACAGTGAGTTTAAAGATGAAAATATTTTAGTGGCAGTTTTTAATGTTTTATTTTTCACTGTTGGTGCTTCATAATAAAAAGCAGCTGGACTTTGGTTCTGGTTGGATGGTCTGACTCAGCAGAACTCATGTTTCCTCTGACACATTCTGACAAACAATAACTAACTTTAACACATGAGGGTTTAAACGTGACGTTTGGTTGAAAGTTCACCATCTTTCCTTTCTATTCTTAGTAAAAAATGATAAAATCCTACAGAACAACGTGTTCAGTATCAGGTTTAGGTGTTTGGATCAGAACTTCCTCATGGTTCATTAAGGGTTAATTAATTCCAGTTATGAGTTTATAATAAGATCCAGTAAATCAGTCTTTACCAGAGTCTATAAAATGTGACGTTTTGTTTTTATCTCTGATAAAAGTCGCTCTGACTCAGATTATCAGAGAAAAGATTAAATTTCAGATAAAAACACAACAAATTGAATAAAGTAACATTAAAACAGACTGATAACATTAAAGAAGGTTAAATAAAATTTAAAAATAAAAATTCACTGTAAAAAAAGAGACAAATTAGCAGATTATGTTTCAGTTTGTTCTTTGATCAAAGCAGGAAGCTGCAGCTGATTTTTATTGTTTTATTACCAATGTTGTTCTTCTGTTTCTGTTTGAATGTTCATCTTGTTGCTCCTCCTACATAAAAACAAACAAAGAAACAAACAAACAAACAAACGCCTCACAATGTGTTACTATCACAAACACAACAAACTAAACCTGAAACAAAGAAGCAAAATGTCCCCATATTTTATAGCATTACAGACAGAGGTGTCAAAAGCATTCACATTCATTACTTAAGTAAAAGTATAGATACTAGGGTTTAAAAATACTGTTTTGGAAGTAGAAGTATCAGTTCAAGCTATTTACTTAAGTAAAAGTATAAAATTATTGGTTTTAAAACTACTTAAAGTATAAAAGTAAAAGTAATGAACACTTTAAAAATACATTAAGTAAAACCTTTGGGGACTTGGAGAAGGTGTTCGACCGTGTCCCTCGGGGTCTCCTGTAGGGGGTACTCCAGGAGTATGGGGTACCAGGCCCGTTGATACGGACTGTTAGGTCCATGTAGGACCGGTGCCAGAGCCTCGTCCACAATACTGGTAGTAAGTCGGACTCGTTTCCGGTGAGAGGTGGACTCCACCAAGGTTGTCCTTTGTCACCGGTTCTGTTCATTACTTTCATGGACAGAATTTCTAGGAGCAGCCGAGGTGTTGAGGGGATCCTTTTTGGTGACCTTAGGATCACATCTCTGCTTTTTGTGGATGATGTGGTCCTGTTGGCTTCATCAGATCCTGATCTCCAGCTCTCACTGGAGCAGTTCACAGATGGGATGAGGATCAGTGCCTCCAAATCCCAGACCATAGTCTTGAGCTGGAAAAGGGTAGAGTGTCCTCTCCAGGTCAGGGAGGAGGTCCTGCCCCAAGTGGAGGAGTTCAAGTATCTCAGGGTCTTGTTCATGAATGAGGGAAGAATGGAGCAGGAGATCAACAGGTGGATTGGTGCTGCGTCTGCAGTGATGTGGGTGTTGTACCGGTCTGTCGTGGTGAAGAGAGCTGAGCCAGAAGGTGAAGCTCTCAGTTTACCAGTGGGTCTACGTTCCTACCCTCATCTATGGTCAGGAGCTTTGGGTAGTGACTGAAAGAAGGAGATCACAGACTGAAGTCATTCAAAGAGCTTTTTATTAATTAGGTAAGATCTTAATATACACAGTATATATATATATATATATACTGTGTATATAT